CAGAGGTAAGAAAGCTAATTTTTCTCACACACATAATTTGCAACAGTTTATACAGTTACACAGAAGTCACTTTTAAACCGAGCAGCTTTCAATTGGCCGGACGGCCAATTACAACTCATAGTGAAATTCCTGATGCCATGGATTCTTATTTTTGTTGGCCAGCCCAAAAGTTAGCATCACTCTCTTTCCCTCGACGAAAACCCAATAAGATTTTTCCATAAGCTTTTGAATTATCATAAAAAATTATTTAACAAACGTTTATGTGATGATTTTCACAAATGAACACAAAGCCTAAATTCAATAACCTTAGGCTATATACGAACTACACCTCAGATGTGTAAATTCAAAGTTACCATCACTAAGCTTCCAACAACTCTTGCAGTCTTTATATAAAAAAACATTTTCACTGAGTATGAGTTATAATAATTTGCAAGAGCGTGATTATAAACATAGCAAGGCTGTGAAAGCGGAGTGAGTAGATGAGTTTATCTCATAGATGGATGACGCCCTCTTCCATTGGTGAAAAGTGAAGCCGCCAAAGTCCTAATATGGTGCTGACATCTTGCGCACCAAATACTCCCACAGAAAAGGTTACTACAAAATTTACTGTGTGAAATATACAGTTATAGACATGTAGAAATTAAAGTTGAAGCTCCAAATTTCTTCTGAAAATCCAAAAAAAGTCTATTGGTCCCTCAGTGACTACTTCGTTCACAACTGTCAATCATGACGTCACATTCCCGTTTTTTATAGCATCAAATAACTAAGACCAAACTTATTTTTAAAAAACGAAATCAGTAGGGCTGCCCCCGACTAAAGATATTCCTAGTCGACTAACACTCCTGCATTTTAGCGATTAGTCGAATAATCGTTCATTTATGATATTAATATAAAAGCTTGCGTATATACAAGGAAAGGAATAGTCCAAAGTTGAAGTTTAACACTTCCATATGACAGAAAATGCTAAAGCATGATATTAGCACGTTCAAACTGAAAATTAAGCGCTTAAAACAGAATAGTAAAGCGTTTAAAGTATACAACGCTTACGACACGTTATTGTAGAATAAAAAAAACAGCAATCAGACTGCCTGTGCAAGTGTGCATTTTAATAATTTATTATCAAAAATACAAACTGTAACAGTTAAATGGAAAAAAAAAACAGTTTTGAATAAAATAAAATAAATTTCGTTCTTTAAAATAAATTAAATAAACTTATTAGTAACTTAGGCCTAGTAGCCTACAAAAGAAGGCAAAAAATAAATAATACTGTAGCAAAAACACTGTTTGGTATACAATACAGTGGAAAATTAAATTAATATATTTTTTATATTGTTCAAAAGGAAAATTAATAAACGAACAATTTAATAAATGCACATGGCATATCGCAGAACGCCAAAACTTATATTGCGAATAAAAAAGGCGGCAAACAAATCAACAGCCTAAGTATTTGATTAAATTGTTTAGAACAACTATATTTAAAAAAAATGTGGAACAAATATGCTAATTTAAAGGACAAAAATATCAGAGCAAAGCCGCAAACTGCCATTTAAGACGATGGATGAGTCTTAACCTGAAACAACAAATTGCAAACATCAGACTAATTTTTCTTAGAATAAAAAACGACTTCTGCATTATATAAAAACGAATAAATAAAAATAGTATTTATTTATTTGTATAGACTAACCGTTATAAAAATATCCGTTTTTTTTTTTTTTTTTTTTTTTATATAGCCTAACGGATCGCAAACAGAAACACTTCAAAAATGAAATTAATTATTCTTACCTAAGCTTTCAATTCGATTTAATTTTTTTCATATTATGTGAGAGGAACACCAGCTTGTCCACATTGTTGGGAAGAAGGGAGCTTCTCGACATGTTCACAATGAAGCCGGCCTTTGAAAAGATGCGCTCTGATGGAGTGGATGTGGAGGCGTTTAGCTGCTTTAGCGAGCTTTGAATATCGATGTTAATTTTTTTGCCACCATGCCAATGGTCCCGAATCAACCTTTGTTTTATCTGCCAAGTAGCTACATTTTTAGTTCATCCTTCTCTTCTGCATGCTCCTCCTCATCAATTTTCCTTATTCGGTTTCGAGCTCACCCTCCGCAAGGCTAATACTGTCATGATCACTTTCTGGCGCGCAGCTTCTGTAGATAAAATTTCTGTCAGATCCGACACTGTGGAGTACGCATCTTCTCGTTCGTGTTGGTCAAAGAATGACAAGCTCTTTAAACGTGAGTCTAAGACAACAGCTTGTTGGTCGCGATATTTTCCGATACCTCTCCCACAAGTGCGTTTTGGTATACCGCGAGGCACGAGATCTCGTTGATCTCTGGTTGCTTTGATGTCATGTCATACACTGACTGCGCAGCCCCTGATTGCGTAATTTTTTCAAGTAATATATATATATATTTTTTTTGCGACTAACCGACTAATGAAAATGTATTCGACCAAGCCCTCCTCATATCGACTAACATTTAGTCGACTATTTGGGGGCAGCCCTAGAAATCAGCATGATAAAAACTACCTAAAATGACAGAAAACATCTTTGAGAAATTTATTTGAAGTGTAATTTGATTGTATAGTTTTCATCGTGATTCGTGCCCATTAGACTTCATGGGGAGGCGGGCTTTATGACCCCCGGTGGGACCAGCCTATACTGGGACCAGCCTTCGGGGGGCGATCAAGGTGCTTTGGCTTCACTTTTCAGCACTTTTGGGCATGCTTGGTTGAATGTCCACCACAATGTCTGTAGTCCCATTTAGACACTTGTTAGCAGCCGCCTTCTTCAAGACATGTAAAAGCTTTAAAATATCACGAGTGAGTTATTACTGATGAGTTTTATGTCGTGGAATAAAACATTTAAATCTCTCGAGCTTGTGTTCATCACAGGCCTTATTTCAGGCTTTGAACTAAAATCACATAAAAAAAAACATTGACTTCAGGACGATGGAATCGGAAATGCTAAAATGCTAACTCGTTTCTTTGTTTTGGCCTACAAGATTACTTTATCCCTGCACCACTCTATTGGTCCAAGAATATTCCAAACCACAACTTTTTATCTTTTATTTAATGAATTTATCTTTTATTTAATGGCACTGGTACTGTTTGCAACTGTTGTCGTTAATCATGACAGTTTGGAATGGATCTTGTTTTTATTTTTGGTAAGATTTATACTTGCTTACAACAAATGCACTAATTGACTTTTATGTTGATCTAAGACGCCAGCCACCAATGGGGTTTGCTAGACCATCTTATTCCAACATCCCTTCTCCTGCACCAAAAACAAGCTCAGGAACACGAACCGCCTCAGGTAAACTCTAGCAAATAATAAAGCTAAACTCTATTACAGATATTAGATGTGCTCTTATGGTTTTTTGAAAAGCCCATTTTTTTGGTGAAATATATTTATGGTATATTCTGATGCAGGTTTTGGAGGAACTAAAAGAAGATAGATGAGATATGAGCGTCTACTCTCACAGCCTCGGTTCTCAGATTTGACATGATCAACAGGGACATTACAAATATTTACAACTTTTTCTTCATACTACTGTTTATTCATAACCTAGACGTTGCTTGACCAGATGTAGGACGTTATTGATTTAGATTTTGGTTATTGGTTTGTTGCTTCTCTTTTTTCATACTGCATGTAACTATGGATAAAAAAAAACAAAAAAACACCAAAAACATGTGATTCTACTGTTTTTCAAGCATTTATTAGAATTTTGGAAATTATTGGAAAAGAAAAATGTTTGAATGTTTTAAAAGGCCTTTATTTTCCATATAATTCTATTTCTGTAAATATAAGTCTAAATGAACCCTATACGCCTTATTCACAGCAGCGCCATCTTTGATTTTTAATGAGAATGAAAGCGAGGCTGTGAGGGATAGACTTGCATCTCTTCAATGGGCTGTATTGTTATTTAATGTGTTTTCGGATTGTTCTGCTCATGAAACACTGGAGAAATATCTTTCCAAGAAATGTCAGTTGACTAAACTCCCGACAATGTAAGCTGTGGAAAATTGTAAGTAATCTAGCCGCTTTATTCAGCTTTTTACAGCGGATGCCATTGGAAACACGGTAAGTCTATCCCTCACAGCCTCACTTTCATACCTGTCATGGCGCTGCTCTGAATAAGGTCTATTTACTTAATGCAAGTACTTGGTCTTATTCTGCAGTGATTCAATATTATTCCAAAGAAATTTTTATTTTATTATTAAGTCTTTTATTAAATCCCTCCGTGGAAAAAAAATATTCTGGCTCCATTCTGGCATGGTACTCCCACTTTTGACAATCTTAATCAATAAAATAAGTCCCTGGATAGATTCTCATTGAAAATTCTGTTTTATAGTATAATAAAGTAAAATGTCATTTTTTGTTTATGTTGACTTTATATTAAAATTATGTAAAAGATATATTGTGTGAGTGTGTGACATTAGCTTATACTGGACCTACTGTGAAAAGTGCTTAAGCTATTGGCTATCGTGAAAACATGCAAACTGATACGTTAAGGCATAAGATGTCAATTTGCTTACTCTATTACTCATTGTCTTTATATTAAAATTCTGATTTGGAAAAGCTTTGAATGACTATACTGTGGTGTGCATCTTGATACAAAATAATGACTCTGATGTTTAAGATATATCAGTGCAAGTTGCTTTGTTAAAACAGCTCGAACATGCATTTTAGTCTGGGACTAGCTTAAACCTTGTCTGTGAAATCAGGGGAATGTGTCTACTGCTATAGTCATGATTCAGATTATGAGAACATCAAGGTTTTCCACTTGATGTAATATAAAGATATCTGATTAATCTTTTCAGGTTTAAAATTGTAACTTTTTTCTCATATCAAAAAATCACATTTTATATGTACCATACTGTATCTCACCACTGGTGTCCAATGGTACTAAAAAACATAAATAAAAAACTTTTGTGTCATTTCATGCTAGTTTAAGTATACTAATTTTAGGTTACAGAAGAATACAGTATAACCATGATAAATTGATTTCATTTAGTGTCACTTTATTTGTATTCACTCATACAAAAAACACATGGAAAGGTACATACATCTGTATTTATATTTGTAGTGTTTAGAATCCCATTTTATACATTTACAAATATAAAAATATATATATTATGTATTATATATATAGAATCTCACTTCTTTTGTAATTACAAAAACAACTGACATCAAAATTGCAATGAACAAATACTTAAAAACACATAAGATATTTCACTGCTGCACCCTGAGACAATAACAATCGATCATCAGATCACATATGAAGTGTTCACAGATCAGCCTTCTCCTCATAGCGACAAATACAGGATGATCTTTGGCTGTCCAGGTAAGGCTTACATCCCAAGTGCATGACCGTATCAAACAGCAAAGTCACTGCTGATTCACAGGCTGTGAAAACACATGGATATAAAGGTTTTACCTCAGCATAATGTCCAATAAATACTGTATGATATAATAGGCCAGCTATACATATCCTGAAAATGGTGAACAATAAATAATAGAAAATATAAGAATTAACAATACTTTTCCATTGTTCAACATTTACTAATACATTATTAAAATCAAAAGGTGTATTTGTTAACATTGTCATTAATAAATCATGTTTAATTTGGACTTCTCTGTGCATGCTCTTTGAGGTGGTGACCACAGACCTGCATTATATGACTGACAGACACGAACGGTTTGACATAAAAATTTAAACTACTGCGGAAAGAAAGACACCTACATCTTGGATGCCCTTGAGGTAAGCTAAAACATACCAAAAATTAATTTCAAAGTGAACTATCCCTTTAAAAAGATGAATAAATAGTGTAACTAATGTATTGCTCATTGTTAGTTATTTAAAACATGAACTTATGTTAACAAATGAGACCTTACTGTAAAGTGTTACCAATAAAACGTATCTCTAAAGTCTGACTTATTATCTTGCAATTACAAGTTTTATAAAGAAAGTTTTATAAAAAAATATATATTATTGCGAGATATAATTTATGAATCGCAAGATAAAAACTCGCAATTCGGAAAAAAAGCATTGATAAACTATAAACTAGCAATATTGTGAAGAAAAATCATAATTGCAATCTCAGACTTCTTTTCTCAGAATTGTGATATAAACTTTTATTCTGTGATGGAAACAAGACAATTCATTACACAATATTAGCAAGACTGTCAATTACCTTGAACACTTTGGGACAAGCCCAGTGTCGTTTGTAAATTGTTGCAAATGTTCTCCAGACAGACCTGGAACTGCTCGTCACAGTCATTTTTCTTTCTCCCACAGGTATCATAGCATAGATCATGCTCATTACAGCATCTGGTCAAAGATGGCATCCCAACATCAAACTGCAGTCCACCAATGAGAATATTAAAAGAGTAAGCATTTCAATTTCAGACAATTAGTGAATGCCACAAAACAGCAATACCAATAATATCTAGCTCCTACACAACAACAGAAGTAACTGCAAGTCTTCCCTCCTCACCTGAAATCCAAACAGTGGGGAGCCACATCCGTTGGGTGGAGCGGGTTTGTAGTTGGGGCGAGGAACTGGTGAGTACCCTATAAACAGTGTTGCTTAAGTTACTCTGAAAAAGTAATTCATTAATAGCTACTAATTTGAAATTTCATCTCCAACAGTGTAATTACATTACTGTACTACTTTTCTTTTACCAAAAAGTATTGCATACACGTTTTTTACTTTCTAAATCCTATAGACATAGACATGAAATTGCTCTTTTAATCAGTAGGGGTTCAATCTTCAACTGGCTGGCAGGAGCTGCCACTGGCAGGTCACATGACTGACTGGCAGCTGCCAGTGGCTGACTGGCAGCTGCCAGTCGCTGCCAGTGACTGACTGGCAGCTGCCAGTCGCTGCCAGTGGCTGACTGGCAGCTGCCAGTCGCTGCCAGTGACTGACTGGCAGCTGCCAGTCGCTGCCAGTGGCTGGCTGGTAGCTGCCAGTGGTTGTCTGTCAGTCTAGTTTCAGAAACCATTGATTTTTGACAGTTTTTGGGTTTTGTGTTCCTCCCTTTATAGCTCATTTATTATGTATCTGTTGAAATTATTGTTATTAGTAGTAGGATCGCAATTTAATAGTCAAATGGCCGTGATCAGACTGGCAGTACAGACGCTGCTGGACTCATCCAGTTAGCCGCGGGTGATCAGCGAATATAACGCGTTGCCTGACACTCTCGCTAAAAGGAAATAAATTGTTTTCTTATAATGAATATAATGTCATGCCTTTATTCTTGTGTATGATTGGTGTTTTGGGTACTGTTGTCGCGATTAAACCAGTCAAATGGCCGTGATCCGACTGGCAGCTTGCAGACGCTTGCTGGACGCTCATCCAGCAGCCGCCGCTGATTCAGCGAATATAACGCGTTGCCTGACACTCTCGCTAAAAGGAAATAAATTGTTTTCTTATAATGAATATAATGTCATGCTTTATTCTTGTGTATGATTGGGGTTTTGGGTACTGTTGTCGCGCGATTAAACCAGTCAAATGGCCGTGATCCGACTGGCAGCTTGCAGTGCTTGCTGGACGCTAATCCAGCCAGCCGCTGCTGATTCAGCGAATATAACGCGTTGCCTGACACTCTCGCTAAAAGGAAATAAATTGTTTTCTTATAATGAAATAATGTCATGCCTTTATTCTTGTGTATGATTGGTGTGTTTTGGGTACTGTTGTCGCGATTAAACCAGTCAAATGGCCGTGATCCGACTGGCAGCTTGCAGACGCTTGCTGGACGCTCATCCAGCCAGCCGCTC